CCCCCCTCACGTGACCCATGTTTATGGTGGAAAGAAAAAATTGCCCTTAATTACTCTTCTTCTTCTTCCTCGAGTTCCCTGGTCTTTTCTCTTGTTTGTTGTCCTCTCCAGCGAAGGTGATCATCATCATGACCTTGAACTCCTCAAAGTTGATTGTACCATCGCTGTCGCATGTCAACGCTGCTTACACTCTGACCTTAAACCTCTCAGCTCGCCTAGCCCTCCGTCTCAGATCTCATCTCCTTCGCAACACTACCATCACCACAACCACCATTATCTCTTGTCGCCACTCCATCATCCAATCTCCACCGTCGATCTTCTCCCGGCTATCGTCTATCATCTGATCCCCAAAGATTTCATCTCCCTTCTCCTATTCCTCTCCACCGCCCGTAGAATCCCCAAACGAGTGAAGACTGTCGACACAAGACGCAAGCCCGACAGATGCAAACGCACCGCCTCTGGACCTACGTCCTCGCCTTTAGCTGCATAACCGGATTCATTGTTGTTATCCTCAACGTCTTTTAAGACCAAATGGTCTTCTACGTAACTCCGACCGTAGCCCTAGAGAAGAACTTCTCAAACCCTAGCAAGAAAAAGTTCAGGCTCGGTAACTTGGTCCTCGAGGGGAGCGTCATCCACCCGGCGTCCTCGCCAGAGATCGAGTTCATCGTCACCAACCTCATCACGGATGACTGAGAAAATCTCATATTTTAAATAATACAATTTATGTATTTAAGCCAAGGATTTTCCTAGAAAATATTATGCTATATTTTGTGACTGAAGGATTTATGAAATTAACATCCGTATTCCTAAATTCTGTAGCAGATTTCATGCTAAGTTCATGTTTTACGATCAAGTAAATTCGATCAATAAATTCTCACCGTACTTTAAGGCAGAAGAATTTTTAGTACATATGTAGTTTGAGAATCTTAATTCCAAGAATCTCCAAGCACAGCATGATGTTAGCAACGTATAAAAAAAATGCTCTGACATTTTAAAAGAAGAGAAAATCCTTAATTTCCAGACAACTAGGTTAAAATCACAAGATAAATACCTATAGTAAAAGGGTACAATGTGAGCTCGGGAGTTGACACCGTCAGAAACAATGTCATTCCCAGGATATAATGCATAAATCTAAATTTATAATTTGTTCAGTGTAGAATTAATTTCAAGACTTGAAACAGTTCAAAATATTACGCGAGTAAGAATTTAATGTAATATCGAAGTAGTCGGGGATTAATATTGAACTGTAAATAAGCAGTAGAAAAGGAACCGTCAGAAACTAGAATTTCTTATCGGCTAAGTACTTCCTTACAGTCAGTATAATTTTATCTGATTCAAGGGAAACTTAAGAGATGAGACAAGAGTACAGTGGGTAGGTTAGGATTTGGTAGGATGACATATGTGATTTGATGGGGGTAAGTGAAGAAAAATCATGACATATGTGATTTGATGGGAGTTAGTGAATAGAAATCATGACATATGTGATTTGATGAGGGTAAGTGAAGAGTAATCATGATAAAAAATTTTCTCCCCTTCCCTTCACTTGGCCGGCCATGCTTAGGGAGTTTTTAACAAAAATTTTGGTTAGTTGAGTGTGGTAGAACACTTCATGACGAGATGAGTCAAGTCAACTATTTGACAATAAAGCTTACCTCACTTCTCCCTTGAAGCATCCAAACCGGCCAAGCTTAGGGTGTTTTAAGCAAAGTTTTGATTAATTAAGTTGGACACAAAGGCTTGATTAAAAGCTAAGAGGGGATTGAGCAAAGGGCAGTAAATACTGGATCATTGGTGTAAGCAACCTTTTCCTCTCATTTGCTCATTCTTCTCTCATTTTCCTACACGCAAAAACCGGCCCTAACTCTCCCTCTTATGTTCTCTCTTTAATTTTTCTTCCACTCCCTTAAATACAAATACTAGCTTAAGATCAAGAAGGAGGATCAAAGTGTTCTAGGAGGAGTTTAACCAATGATTTTCTTTCCTTAAGGTATGAACTCTAAAACCTTTCTCTTTATTTTCCTTTCTAGCAAAGTTTAAGTTTGAGAATCCATTTATGTAATTTGTGATTCTCAAAGAAATAAGTTGTAATAAGGGTGTGTGAGTTTTAAGTTGGTTTTGTGAGTTTTGAGGTTAGTTTGATTAAGCATTATGTAGTATGTTTATACTTGGTTAAAGTTTGCTTATTTTAGGTTGGAGGAAAATTTTTTCGGTTACTTTGAACGTGAAAATGAGGACCCTAGAGCGAGATTTTTCAGTATTTTAAAACTTGAACTTATGGTTCTCGATGTTTTGAACGTTTTTTTGTGACTGTGACAAAACTTAAGTTTAACTCTCAACGCAAGTTTTAAGCCATTTTGCAAAAATGGGACAGGCTGTCCAACACAGTTTCAGGAAAAAAAGACTGTAGCCACTGTTTTCAGCCAAACGAGGCCTTTAGATGTTGAATTTCAGTTTTCTCCAAAAATGACAATTTTAGATCTCGACGAGATGAAGAATTTTTGTGAAGAACAGATTTTCAAAATCTGAACCTAAATGTAGTAAAACGCAGATTTTAGAAACTACACAGTTTTAACTAAACAAAACTAACACAATGTTGGTTTTAACAAAAGGTTATCAAAGAACCCGAAATATGATTTCAGTAAAATACTATGGTTGTAGACCTTGCTTGAATGAGGAATAGCCGTGAAGAAAGATTTCGAAAAAAGGGCTTCTACAACATAGTTTCACGGTGGTTTACAAATTAACTGTAAAATGACTTGTGGAATAGTTTCAAAAGTCAGTAGTCGAAAAGAGATTTTATAATGGGATTTTAGTGCTTGTAACTAAATAAGTGAGTAATCGGTTTTATAAAAAAATCA